TGAGCCCATTGCAGCAAATTCGTGCGTTTATTAGCCTGTTGGAACGAACTCAAGGCTACGCTTTCTCTCTACAGCTCATGAATGGTAGGGCCTATGTGTTGGTGTGGCATAAAGGGGGAAGACAGGGAAGAGGAACCGAAATATTTACTTATTCTCTACGCAAATAGATAGGTCAACAACATCACTCACAAAAGAGCCTCTTTGTGGCTGGGGTTTCCTGGCTGCAGCCCCAGAACCTAAGAACCCAAAGCTCTATTCCCAGGTGGCCTCTCCTAATTTGCTAAATAACCTTGGGCAAGTCACTTAACCTTCCCAAACCTCAGCTTCCCCGCTATGAAAAGCGGTGCCGAAAGCTGTCTGTTCTCTGCTTCTCCGGAAGTTGTGTGGATTAATGATGAGAGAAAGGCAGTCAAGGGCCTAGAGTTTCTTTAAGACAGGTGCTGCTTACCCTTGGATGGGAGTCATAGAAATAAATAGAATAAAGACACACCAGGCCGAAGTCATGAGTTCTCTGTGTCCTGTGGGCTTCCACATTTTTCATTCCTTAAAGAGGGCTGGCAGGAACAAAACAAAACAAAAATGCCCAATAAAGCCTTTGTCTGACAAAATCCTCACTGGATTTTTTTTTTTTTTTTTTTTTTATCTGATTAGTCTGTGTCGATAGACGAAATGATTTTAAACATCCTGAAAGAACTGGAAAAAAACAGTCCTGCCCAAAGACGCTGGGCACTGCTGCTTAGCCCCTCATCAGCGTGGAGCACATTTCACCGCACGGAGAGGAGAGAACTCCTCTGACAATTAGCCTTCCAGTTTGGTGACAGTCATTATCACCACGAGGGGCTTTTCTTTCCCTCTTATGATGAAATATACATTCATACTGCTGAGGCCCCAATCTGAGGGCTGTTTGGGCAGAACCCAAAATGCAAGGAACGGATCGATTTTAACCTATTTGAAAACATTTGATCTAATTTGATATTTCTAGTTTTCAACGGCTTACAGCAAATAGATGAAAATAAATGTCTTGTCACATGTCGTGCTGTGGACTATGCCATTTGCTTTTCAAAGACTCCCGAAAACAGGAGGAGAATCCTCTATTAGCTACGTCTGATGCCTCAGGATTTTCCAGCTGTCATTGTTCAAAGGTCTAGTTTTTGGAGCCGTGAGGAATGACCAAGTGGATTATTTGCTCTAAAATGCTGTAAGTGATCTGTTTCTCAGTCTTTCAGCTGTAATAATGGAAGGGGATGGGGCAGAGGAGCAAGTAGAAGGTCCTCTCAAGTATGTGTGGGGTGCATATGCATTTCTGTGTATATTTTCAGGGCTAGAGATCGAATTCTGGTATTTTAAAAAAAAAAGAAAGAAAGAAAGAACAATAAATAATCATGGAATGTGCCGCTGTTGGCTTTCTTTTCTGAAATCTAATTACCGTAGTGGCCCACTGCCTTGATTAAGTCTTTCCTCCCTAAATAATTAATTTGCCTTTATGCAAGTGTATTTGCCTCTTACAAATTTTAACTCATAACAATGAGGACCCAGGCTCAGCAAACCCACTTTCAAGCATATAAATTTAATTGCCTTGGAATAATTAATGATTAACCTTGATAAAGGAGGGCTAGACATTAGTATACTATATTAATTCAAAGCAGATATTAGCTGTTTGGTGTTAGAAAATGTTATAAACACACATCTATTTTTAAACCTACGTGGTCAATAAATTTAGTTGGTTGGAATATGTTAACTAGTTCAAAGGAATAGTTTCGATGTAAATATTTAACCAATTTGTTTTGATCTATTTCAGAAGCATTTATGTCAACCAGACTTTTTTTTTTTTTTTTAATATAGGTCTTGGAGTAAAGAACAAGGATTGAGAGAATAATGGATGATCAGGGTTCCTTGCCCCATCTGTAGCAAAAACTCAAGACACATGGTCGATTGACAGTGGGTGGGTAGCGTCTTCTTCACATGTATAGAGTTTGGGTGTGAACTACGCAGGAGCGCAATCCCACCCACTGTGCTGCTGGATCTGGGGCTTCGGTAAAGGAATACAGTAAGAAGGTTCAGCGGTTTCCTAATGCTTGTCTTTTCCTGCACAGTTCTCACCGGGGAACAGAATCTTAAATGCCATGCACCCTCCGCACCCCCCACCCGCGCCACCGTACTGGCGAGGAAACGGAGGCCCAGACATTTCCGTCCTGGCGTCGTTCCCATCTCCGTGGTTCCTCCATATTTAGATATCACCTCATTCCCTTTCAACCCCGTCAAGGCTGCGTGGGATGGAGTGGGGCCGGGCAAGAGGACCCTCCCACCAAGGGGGTTATAGAATGCCCGTCCATCCCTAGGGTCCCCAAGCCCTCGGTCAGGGCCATCAAACTCCAGGGCCTCTATGTCATTCTCCTAAATCTGACTCTAACTCTAACAGATGTCAGATAGTTTGTTTTCAGTGTAAATTGCTTTTCCCCAAAGATCGAATTCTTATTTCCTAAGGCATATATAAAAATCTAATATTCAATTAAGGCTTCACACTACCTCTCTCTGGTCAGGAGTTTGACTTCCACATTACCTGACACTGTCCCTGGTCCTCACCAGTTTTCTGACATCTTGGGATTCAATGGCATCACCCTGTTCCCCAGCTGAGGTGTGAAGCTACAGTACACGAAAGACTATATCTGCTGGAAGTAGTCTAGGCTATATATTCAAGGAAAAGCAGTTTCCAGCCACAGCTGGGGCAGCTGATTGAGCCCAGACCCCTCCTGACCAGGCAGTGAACATCCAGTGCTGGATAAAGCTGCTTTGGTCTCTGGGATGTCTACTCTTGTCTGAAGACACTCTTGCTTCCTGTACCTACAATGTCCGGTGATGCCTCTGTGAGCCTCACATTTTTTTTTTTTTTTTTTTTTTTACGGGGGTGGATTTGGTCTGGTTTTTTCCCCCCCCCTCCTTTTGTTTGTTATTGTTGATGTTGTCCTTGTGACCTGAAATCACAGAAGAGTGTGCACCAGGAAGAATGATCAGGCTTGTGCCCACAAAGCCTCTTTTCCACAGCCCTTCCTTTCTGTCATTGGATTTGATTCTTAAAGATAGGAATAGAAATGTCAGGCTAATGGTGACACAATGAAACTTTTTGCATTAGATATATTTCTTGCTCAAAGATTTTTCGACAGTTTAGTTTTCAGAAAACCATTGTCTTAGAATTCTTGGTAAACGTACCACTGTCTTAAATTGATTTTTGCTGGCCTGTATTAAAAGTAGGGCGAAGAGACGGGCCGGATGAATTTCTCCAGGATAAGCTGCATCCTGAAGCAATGTGCCCATCAAGAAAAAGGGACAAGTGACGCAAGCCAGGAATCATCAGCACTGATAAGTAGTATTGATTGTGTGTCTACTCGGTACTGGGCAGCTAAGGAATAGGGGTGAAGATCAGAATGCAAAGGGACAGGGTAGTTTGGAGACTTTATAAATGGCTGTGCTAAACAGAGGTAGCTCATGAGTCTGGAAATAAGGAATCAAATGGGGAAGAGGCAGGTGGGCACTCCTGGGCCCCTAATTTAAGGTATTCCTTGAATAACTGGACTGATGAGGGAAGAAATAATGAGAGCATGGAATAAGTGTATTAGCTGCTGGTTTACCTACTGTAAGAGAGAGCACTTATTTTATTATTTGTTTTTGCCTGATTGCACGTTTGAAATTTCCTTTTTAAAATCTTTAGTTCTGGGGAAAACATAAGGCAGAAAAGATGTTCACAAACTTTTGTATATTTCATTGAAAGTAAATATTACAGAGGAGGTTGTAGACCAGATGAGTTGTTGTAGTGTAATTAGCTCAACAAATCTAATCTTCCCTCTGCTGTGATTATAATGAGGTCATTCACCTTTGTTTTTCTCTCAGTAAATTGTGGATGTTCCATTTTACCAACTAGCCGAGTTGGTATTAAAAGAATTTTAAGCATTTCTAGAAATTCATGTTATAATAAGATTTATAGCTTTGTACATTTTGTACAGTGATATAAAGTTACTGTTCTATATTATCATTATTCTGAAATCTTGAGGTCTTTGCAATAATTCAAGACTTTGACAATGAAGGATTTAGCCAAAGAATCTGGCATATTGCTCTGTTCTTATTCTGGGTAAGGTTTTGAAATAACTTAATTGAAATTTTAAGAAAAGTTGCCTATATTTTTTCAATTTCAAGTGTGATTATTAAGTTTTTATACCTCCACTATGTATCTTAACCCTTACGAACAATTTAAAATATACTTTTTCTATGATTTCACTTCCATTAAGTTTTTGTGACTATTATTAAAGCACTATTGGTCTCATTGACTAACTGCCATTCAATATTTACCAATAAGTAGACAGATGTGAGAGGCCAGATTTGTTCCCATGACAGTGATGGTTTCTGTGATAAAGAGTTAAAGCACATTGTTTTTTCAAGTTGAAGGCAATTTCACTTCCACTAGAAAGAATAGCTAAGTCTCAAATATCTCTTTAAATCTTAGTTTTCCCATTATATCCCTAAATAAGATGAAAAAATACTTTGGAAATCTACAGCTTTCCAATCAAATAATGGTTTCATGTCTGTGATTTAGAAACACAATCTGATGGTTATGCTGATTACTGAACAGGTCAAAGATGCACTTTTTAAAAGCATCACATTATCAGGGAAACGGAAGTAGCATTTATCGAATCCCTACTATGAGTCAAGCATTATGCTCAATGCTCCCCTGGACTGTCAAATAAAATACTAATTTTAATTTTAATACAAGTCCAAGGCATGGTGTAGTGGATTGAATTGTGTTTCCCAAAAAGATATGTTCAAGTCCTACCCTACCCCTACCCCACCAATACCTGTGACTATGACCTTATTGAGAAATAGGGTCTTTGCAGATGTAATCAAGTCAAGATGAGGCCATCTTGCATTAGGATGAGCCCCAATCCAATGACTGGTGTTGTCATAAGAAAAAAGAGAGAGAGATTGGATATAGAGACCCTGAGGCTACACACATGGAAGAAAGTCCTGTGATGACACAGGCAGAGATTGGAGTGATGCAGGTATAAGCCAAAGCCAGGAGAAAGGCCTGAAACAGATTCTACCTCAGAGCCTCCAGGAGGAACCAACCCTGCCGACATCCTTGATTTGGACTTTCTAACTATGCGAGAGTAAATATGTGTTGTTTTAAGTCACCCTGTTTGTGGTACTTGGTAACAGCAGCCCTAGAAAATGAATATTACCTCTGTTTCACAGAAGAAACTTGCTCACGATTGTTTAGTTAGTGAGATGGGTGCTGTATTTAAACCCAGGCCTGATGCCAGGGCCTCTGTGTTTTCCCTACTCTTACCAGACCATTGTACACATGACTTTGCAACCTTGATTTCTTCTCCTATTGGTTTCAACTCTGTAAGAATAAATGTTACAGCCATGTATCCACGGGTCCATAGGGGAGACCATGCTGTAACAATGAGCCATGGTCAGTACTTAAAATAACAAAGACCCCAGAGACTGCAGGCGATTCCTGGCATATCTTAGAGTACCCATGACAACAGCAAAGTGATGTGAAATTATGCTTGAATCAGTTACATATTTGAAACATGCCAGCTACAATAAGTGAATTTTTCATCTTTGATGAGACCTAAATAATTTTTGTTACTGTCGCTAACCCCCATGATTTCTGGGACAAATAGCAGATCCAAGGATAATTACTCTTACTTACAGATGTCAGATATTTTGTTTTCAGTGTAAACTGCCTTTCCCAAAAGATCGAATTCTTATTTCCTAAGCTATATATAAAAATTTAATATTCATTTAAGGCTTCTGCAACTTACACGTGATGTTAGTTTATTGAGAAATAGCTATATATAAAATAAACTTAATGGGGGCCTTATAGGTGTTACCATTAACTTTTCCAAATTTGAATAGATTCAGAACATTTGATACTGACAAATAAAGACTGACTTTACAGTTCCAGGAGCTGTTGGGACAGGAAGTTGTTCTTGCCCTAAATGGCTGGACCATAGTACGAGGAACCCAGACCAGGAGGTCAAGAGCAAAACATAAGATTTCAGTGCCATCGGGAAAGAAAGAGGAGGACCCGACACAGGACTCTTGGGGGGTGTGATTTCTTTCCACGTGGACAGGGGACGGGGCCTGCTGGCAGTGTAGGAGGAAGGGTGGGTGGAGCCTTCTGGTAGCTCCAAGAAAACCGGGTCCTTCCTTGCCCGTGAGTGAGTTTGGGGGAACGAAGATTCTTAGGCCAAAATAAGTCCCAATCCTTAAAAGCTTGTAGAATATGCCAATCATAAACTAACTTTTCAAATGCGACTTTGGCAGCTAGTTTCAAACGGGTGTGTTATAATCAATCAGGTTGTATCAGCAAGCTATATATTTCAGGTCCGTAAGCTTCATTAGGAAACAGGCAAGTTATCAAAAAAAGAAAGTCTTGGAACAGAGTGGCATTTGGAGAATCTCGGGTACCACAAAAAGAGTTTCCTAAAGATCCTACCAGACACTGGAGCTACAGAATTTTGAATCTTTTATTCTCCAAACCTAGCTCATCCTTGAATTCTCTGGAACACATCTGACCAGACAGTATTTTTCAGACGGCTTCTCCCGCAGCACCGTTTTTTCCTGCTCATCCCACACATCCAAGGAGGATGGCATACGGGTTTGTCCTGTTCTCCAGCGGTCTGTGGACTAGTCTTTGTCCTGCTGAGCTGAGTATCACTGAAGCATTGCTCTAGACCAGGGAGGTGGGAGTACTAAAGGCAGAGTGCCCAGGAAAAGCATTTACAGGGTACCTCCCGAAGGGGGTGGGGGCGGGGAATGACACTGTGAATGTTCCACCACCCCCAGGAGCTTCTGACCTCCTTCCGCCTCTCCCACCAGACAATGATTTCTACTCCCTTCACAGCAGATGTGGTCAGTAAGGAACTCCAGAAAAACAAACCCTAGCTTATCAGTACTTTTCAAGGGGAAATTAGAGGGAAAAAAAACCCCAAATCTTTTCTTGGTTAATATTTTCTTCTTTCAGCATTATGAAATAAATATTGGGCAAGATGATGGCTTACTAAAAAATGCACATGTATTTCCAAATGCAAGGGGGTGGTGGTGGTGCTGGTGGGGAATATTGCCTGTTTTATTTCCCTCTTGAATGTTCTCTATCTACCTTCTCTTTTAGATATCATTCTCTACTCACTTGCTTCTTGTCTTTTTTTTTTTTTTTTAACATGTTTTGAACATTTGGACAAGTACAGAGAATACTAAAGCAAACTCTCCTCATACCGATTTCTAAGGAATAAACACTTTTTCCGTCGGCGTCTCCTGCGGCGTCTCTCGCTGCCCTAGGCCTCGGATCCCAGACCGGTGTGCGCCCCGCCGAGTCATGTGACCAAGGCTGTGTATGTATTGAAAGGCAATGACCCAGTGCCGGGCACGGTCCACTTCGAGCAGAAGGGAAATGAGCGGGTGATGGTCTCGGGATCCATCACAGGATTGACTGAAGGCGAGCATGGGTCCCACACTCATCAGTTTGGGGATGATACACAAGGCTGTGTCAGCGCAGGTCCTCACTTCAGTCCTCTTTCCAAAACACATGGTGGGCCAAAGGATCAAGAGAGGCATGTTGGAGACTTGGGCAACGTGACTGCCGGCAAAGATGGGGTGGCTCACGTGTTTATTGAAGACTCTACCATTGCCCTCTCAGGAGACCATTTCATCATTGGCTGCACAACGGTGGTCCGTGAAAAACCAGATGACTTGGGCAAAGGTGGAAATGATGAAAGTAAAAAGACGGGAAATGCTGGAAGTCATTTGGCTTGTGGTGTCATTCGGATCGCCCAGTAAACATTCCCCAGGATAAGGTCTGAGTCCTAGTAAACTCATCTGTTCTCTTACTAGTTGTAGAAATTTAACTTGATAAACATTAAACACTGTAACCTTAAATAAAAACAAAACATTTTCTCATATTTACTTTAGATCTTTTAAACTTTTTTATTATGATTCACATTGTATAGTTCACCCATTTAAAGTGTACAATTCAGTGATTTCTGATACATTACATTATTATTTTTTTTGAACCGTGAGGAAATGTATAACAAAACTTGCCGTTTTAACCATTTTAAGTGTACGCTCCAGTGACATTAATTATATTCACGATGTTGTGCAAGTATCACCTATATCTATGTCCAAAACTGTTCCATCATCCATCATCTCAAACAGAAACTCTGTAACCATCAACAATAACTCCTGCTCTCCTGCTGCCCAGTCCCTGGTAACCTCTAACCTACTTTCTGCCTCTTGAATTCGCCTATACTGAATATTTCATATATCTGGAATTATACACCATTTGTTCTTTCGTGTCTGGTTTATTTCAAATTGCAAAATGTT